TTGGAAATGAAAGCAAAGTCTTCCTAAGACATTTCTTAGCCTCATATTTCTAAATCAATTTGTTAAAATAAATTGCCTCTTGCTCACTACTCAACACTATTTTAAAGAAGAAATGAAGTACAGTATGTCAAGCTCCTGATATACACTCATTCAATTAAAATTATGATTACCATTGGAACAACAACTGGTAAATCATGACATAGACATTTTATAATAATAACTAAACAATGTTCCAATGGAAAGATATAGGTTCTTCAGTCACAGATACATGGCACTTTTGTTAGGAACATTTAACAATTCCTTTTGAAATTCCCCATCAGTAAAACAGCAAGAATAATGCCTACTTCACAAGGAGGCTAGAATAAAGATACTATATGTAAAGCATTTAGGACAGTGCTAAATACTGTACTCATAATTTTATTGTTAACATAATTTTATTGTTTTGGTTTAGCTACACTGAAAATAAGCCACATTCCCAGTAAGCCCTTTCTACTAATTCCTGGCCTTCAGATAAAAAAAATTATCATAGTTATATTATGACTAGAGGCCCAGTGCATGAAATTCGTTCACGGGTAAGGCCCCAAGGGGCTGCCAGCTGCTGGCCAAGGCCTTCCTTCATTTCACGCAGCCCCCTGGTGGTCAGTTCACGTCATAGCGAGCAATCGAACTCCCAGTCTATGGAACGCCCAAGGGGATACTTTGCATATTAGGCTTTTATATATATAGTTTTTAAATCAGATTCTTAGACCTTATTTTATTTATGCCTGACATAGAGTGATGACTAATTCCTATAGTTCACTAAGTCTCACTTCAGTATTTACACATTGATACTTTAATCTACATATTCAAAAATACAATTATCCTAATGGACTGTATTAGCAATATAGAATCCATCTAGATTCAGCAAACCAATTATGGACACTGAAGTGGGGGTATATAAATTGCTGTTTTGTGTCCTTTGTTGTATCTTCCAGAGCCTAAAATATGTTTTCAACCAAAATCTATTAAATAAATGAAGGAATTGGTATTGATGAAAAAAATAAAATATGAGAAAGTAAAGAGTTTAAGGTCTTTCTCAGGAAGACCATGTTAAAGGAGATGCCAAATTCCGAGGAAGATAAACCAGGATCAGCAACAAGTTATACTGCTGTTTATATCCCATATCACTCTCTAGTAGAAAAAAATAGAAATTCTACATATTGAAAATTAATATTGCCACCAATGTTGTAAATGAAGTTATAGGGCACACGACTGGTCAACTGTCTGTCCCCTGGTGGTCAGTGCACATTATAGCAAGTGGTTGGGCACCCTTAGCATATCATTAGCATATTACACTTTGGTTGGTTGAACAGCTGACTGGACAAACAGACACTTAGCATATTAGGTTTTTATTACAGAGGATTACTATATATTATTTTTTATTTATTCACAGTACACAAATATATTCTACTTACCATGATTCTGGCACATTGCTAAATTTTTATGGTTCAGAGTTGAACACAAAAAACATAGTCCCTGATTTTAAGTAGTTTGCAGACTTTTACATGTTCTCCACCATAGTTTCAAGGACTTAATTTATTATCTATTATTACAGTGAAGTTATATCTTGTACAATTGTATCAAGTTATATAATGCTATTTTGAAATTAATAATTGTTTTATTAATTATATTATGGGAGTTTATGAATCAAAACATGCATAATTTTATAGTAACACTATATTCTAGCTAATTTATATTCCCCATATCTCTGGATATTTAAGTTTACATTTTTCTTCTTAGGTACATTTTTTTACTACATTAATAAAAATTCAGTTTAATAAAGATTAATTTATTCTTATCTTAAATGACTGCTAACAAAATCTTGAGAGGTTGCAAACGCATATATTTAATAGCTATAGATTTGTTAGAATGTTGCAATTTTCAGAGAAATACACAACTGAGTTATACCTATGATAACTATTAAATGACATTTGTGTAATTTTTAAGATATCACAAGGAAGTTTATCAGTCTCTAACAATTAAATGTAAATAAGTAATATAGTGCTGGCTTGGAAACAAGTATTTATGATTTTGTAAAAAAGATTTTGCAACATAGAACACATCTCTTTTCATAGATAAATGTTCCAGTTCACTTCTATGTTCTCTGCTATGCATTATTGTCATTATTATTTCTTTGGTCCTCAAGTAGACAAAACATATTGGGGCAGAGTTTAGAGAAATATTTATTTCCAACATTCTGTTCTATCAGAAAAGGTTCATACATATATTGTGGTCTAGCAATTGGAATATTTCACTGTCAAACTTCGTTTAATTTTGCAATGGGAGAAAAAACACAACACATTAAAGCAATTGCTATACACAGTGAAAAAAGAAGAGAAATGTTACAGTGTCTATATTTCGAAGTGAACCTTATGAGTCATTCTATTTAACATAAAATAAAATTAAAAAGGGTTAACCTGAGCAAGATGGTAGTTTGATAAGGTAAATATGCAAGGAACAAATTTAGTGTCATGGTAGTATCTGATACTCTTAGACTTTAAAATGAGTTATTTAATGTCATCCAACCTGTTAATTTTATCATAATTTCTCCAGGAAACCATATTCATAATGTGTCCTTGTTAGACCGAATAACCAAATCCCAAATGAAATCCTGAATTACAGCCAGTACTATGTCCATTACCATCTTGAGGGTGGTGTTAGGAAAACACCCTAGCTAATCACAGAACATTCCAGTGGTTTCAGTTACATCCAAGATACTTTTATTTGGGTGAAATCACATCCCAATCAGAGTATAGAAAAAGAATATTTCTCTATAATAACATTTCCACTTTAGAATAAAATTTTAATAGGTAGTAAGAAGTGAAATAAAATTGACATTGTTGTACAACTCTAGAAATGACTTTGAATTGTCATTATATATTCAAAATGACATTAAAATACTAAGACAAACTTAATTCCAAATATTATTATAATCACAAATCTATATTTATATAATATTTACTATGTGATCCTAGGAACATGCTGGTTACAGTCAGTTGATCCTCACCTTCTTCAGTTCATAATTTTTAAAAGTATTTTATAATTATGATTATTTATTATGCTAAGTGAATTAAGCCAATCTGCAAAAGACAAATATAACATGATCTCACTTATTTGTGGAATCCAATGAACAAAATGAATTGACCAACAAAATACGACCTGGCAATATGGAACCGACTGACATACCATGTCGGGTTGGGGGATGAGGAGAGATAAACCAAAGAACTTATCCTATATAATGAAAGGCTAATATGCAAATAGATGGAACAGTGGAACAACCGAACAACAAGTCGCTATGATGTGCACTGACCACCAGGGGGTACACACAGAACATGGCGGGTGTTGGCAGCAGACAGCAGAGTGAGGAACATGGCGGGCAGTGGCCACAGGGGGATGGTGGAGCAGGTGAGCAAGGGTGCCAGACTTAGGTGGGGCACCAGTCACTGTCATCAGGGCAAGCCTCTGGTGGTTACTGAAAATTCTTTGCTCCCATGTGCCACAGTCCCACCTGGCGCTCACACCTGCTGCTGGCTACAGCTCCACTCGCACCTGCTGCACTGATCACCCCTGAGGGCTTCTCCACCTCCCCCTGCTTCTGAGGGGCAATTGGGGCAGCAGCCGCCACACACATCCTCTGACGGTGCCAGCCCCACTTGAACCCACTACTGGCAGCAGCCACAATCACTCTGCACTCTCAGAGGGTACAAGCGGGGCTGGTGCCATCAGTGCGTGGGAGTGGTGGCAAAGGGAGTGGAGCTTCCAGCAGACAGGGGACTGGGAGCGAAGAGGATGGGCCGAGACCTGCCCCTGTGCCCACTGCAGCCTCGCAGCCCACAGTTCATTTCAAGGTGCACAAATTCGTGCACTGGGCCCCTAGTATACTTATATGCATAGCCCATGGTCACGGGCTATTTTAGGGTGAAGACCTGGAGCAGGAGAGTAGGGACTGGGTAGCAGGGGGTAAAGGGAGGGGAAATGGGAGACATCTGTAATATTGTCAATAATAAAATATATAAAAAAGCAAAATTAAGATTACTAGTAAATGGTAGCTATTGTTAACTAGTTAGACCAATAAAAGTCTCCTTTAAAATGCTTGAAAATTCCACATCTATATCTTATTAAAAATATTCAAAAGGTATAAAAGCCAGACATATCTAGATTTTTACTTCACTCAAGGTGGGATTTTTCTTTCCAGTTCAAAGAGGGTTTTACTTTTGAGACAGTGAAGGATTACATCGAGTTGCAGTACATTTAGTGCAATGGGTTTATTTATAGTCCTATTAACTTCAAGG